TGTCATGTGTCAGGAAGGGGGGGAAGCGAGGGAGGTAGGAGAGTGGGGAGAGGGCTCTGTAGTAAAGGGTGAGGGTGGGGGGGTTGTGGGCTGGTCAAACCTGTTGAAGAAGTTGTTGAGTTCGTTTGCCTTCTCCACAGTCCCCCCCACTGTGCTGTTGTGGCCTTGGTTTTCACACCATTCCAGACCTCCCTCATATTGTTCCTCTCCAACTTCTGCTCCACCTTCCTCCTGTAGGTGTCCTTTGCTTCCCTCAGGCAGCGTTTCACCTCCCGCTGTGCTGCTTTCATCTCCTCCTTCACTTTGCTCCTGAAAGCCTTCTTCTTCATGTTGAGGACAGCTTTGACTTCCTGTGTTACCCACGGTTTGTTATTAGGATAACACCGTACCGTCTTAGCAGGGGCGACCGTGTCCACACAAAAGTTGAGGTAGTCTGTAAGACAGTGTGTCGCCCCCTCTATGTCCTCACCATGTGGGCTCAGGAGCACATCCCAGTCTGTGGTGTCATAGCAGTCTCTCAGAGCATCCTCCTTTTCTGGGGTCCATCTCCGGATGGAGCGCGTTGTGACAGGCTGCCTTTGGATGAGGGATGTGTATAGAGATTGACAGACCACGTGACTTTCGCGCATTGCATGCCGGTAACTCGTGGCAAAACAATCCAAGTACCTGCATCAAATGCAAGCATTTGCAGCACCGCAAAACGTTCATTCTTCGGTTCCAATAAATTCTTGCTTTTTCTTTGCCCCCCAAAAAGGTATGTACAAAACGAAGGAGAACAATGCCGGTCCGTACAAAGACAGACTTAATGAAAAGTCAAAGAAAAGATACGAGGAAAAAAATCAAACCAGTGAAAGTGTTAGACCCTTACGAGCACACAGAGGGACAAAATACGTTAGCGTGCTGCCCAACTTTCACCACGCTCATATTTATAATTATACGGTTCTTGGAGTGAGTGCATACACTCATGAAGTTTAGTAACTTCAGGTCACTGCAACAAGCCCAGGTACAGTTTACCGACGGATGGGTACAGGACCTTGAAATGCACCGTGTAGAACGAAAGACCATCGTACATATCATAAGTTTACCAGTCTCACAAATCGTCTCATAAATACACATTCGTTAACCGTTTATTAATAGGACCTTTGAGCTCAACGGTAATTAATTAGTAGTGGAAATAATTTCTGGTAGCATCACAGAAATGTAGCAGTGACAATAATACTGTATGCTGTAATCGTACTGGGCAATTAGTGATACAAAACAACTGTTTTATCCTGTGAATAAAAGTATATGTTTTTGTCAATGTACCATAATAACAGAAGCGAAACGCAATATTGTGTCAGGACAATTCACTATTTATGCACAATAAATAAAGGAGCATAGCGCGACAATTTCTGTTCAGCGCCAGACTTGCTTGTAACCTATATCACCAATTATGTTATGAAAAATGACGCATTAACTACAACAGCAGACTGACCTTTGTGTAAATGCTTGGAGCAGACTAACCTGTGAGCTGGAGTGTTCTGGGACGTTATATTTGTCTTTGAATGGCTGCAATCCAGTCGCCTCTTTGTTACTTCGGAAACATGGCTCGAACAATTTCTCTTCAACGACGTAATCCGATAACAACCGATCTCTTTACCCGTCGGCTTCCCGTGGCTGTCATGCGACCGGCTATTGCAGTTAATAATACAACAGCTTCTTGCCATTTTTTGTGTTTCTTTTTATCGCTGTATAACTGATTTCAATTGAAAGCCTGCGTGCGCTAGTACCTCTTGCCACGAGTTCCCAGAATTCTTTGCGGTTTTACCCCTGAATGACGTCACATTTTCAATCTCTATAGAATGCTTATGAGCGAAATTGGTTAGACTGGTGATCACGGGGGTGGGCGTGGAAAGGATTTGATCCGCCATTTTGGGGTCTAAGTAAGGAGCGAAAGCATTACTTGCTGTGTGGTCGGCTGCAATGTTCGATCTTACGACCGGCACGGGAATAAGTTTGGATTGTCTTTTTATGCTTTCCCAACCTGGAAGCAACATGAAGGAGCTCATGTATCGGATATTACCAAACGAAGGCGTCTAGCCTGGATAGCAGCCGTGAGACGAGCTGATATCAAGTTCTGTTACGTCTCCAGATATCAGCTGGTGTGCTCAAGACATTTTCATTCCGGTAAGTTCTAAATATGTTCACATCACACTTTATAGCTGAATAATATCATCGTTGGTGGTCTCGGAAGTTATAGAAATTGCGATCAAACATAGAATGGAGTGACTTGATTGGTTGATGTAAAGACAATAAATGAAATGAGACAGGAAGGACACAAATTGGCGTTAATAATTTGCCCGATTATCAATGTGTTAATTTGCATCTACTTTACAATTATGGGCATATAATATGATAACGATATTTTAGCAGTTCAATGATAAATGTATAACATTAATTATGGTGGGGGGTGGAAAATGGCTATTTCACTCGATGCACTCCAGCTGACTTACTTTGACGACGTACTCAGAGTTTGGCGGCTTGAAAATAGCCAAATCTTGCACCCAGCCATTTGTAAATTGGATGTGCGCCTCCAGTGACTTGTAATTACGAAACTGGTTCGCTGTGTAAGCGCTTACTCCACAAACAAGATACGTGAAGATATCGGGGTAGGACAGTGGCGGTAAGTCGTCTGGGTCTTTACTCCACTGCCGTATTTCATATGGGTCCAGATTTGCGATGCACTCTATTTTTTTTCAAGTACCGCTGCTTCGCCTCTGGACGCAATCGGTCTCTATACCGTCCGTTTTCTTTTGAGCTGCTTTTAAGCGTGTTTCTTGTCATCGTCGTTCCAACACAGAGCGTTTGTTTTGATTCGTAGACCCCGAAAATGGCGCTGAGCTCCCACAATGCATTGCGGCGTGACGTCAACTCCAAAGCCCTATTGTGGCTGTAGGTAAACCAGGTTGTGGTCTGACTTCCCTAGTGGGGGGAGGGGGGTGGCTGTAACTTGCTGTAACTGTGTGCATTTCCTCACAGGCAGCTGCTGCGTTGGCCCTCGGAAGAATGTAAACACACACACAGATCACATGACTGAACTCTCGAGGTAGATAATATGGCCACAAGCTACCGGCTAGCAGCTCCAGGTCCGGACAGCATACCGATAATTTAACGGAGACGTGTCCAGGGTTACAGTATCTGTTGTTAACGTAGACAATGAGTCCCCCACCTCTGCTTTTTCTGCTGGCTATACTATTCTACTACTACACTTACTATGTAAGTAATAAATATCTATAAGTATAGACATGTACATGTACACACACATGTACAAACACACATACACCATACTCACTAAATATACATATATATATACACATATGCGTACACATATACATGCACATGTCCATACATATATATGGTGCATTATGCATGAAGTGGTAACTGTGGATGTCCACAATGTCCAAGTGACTCATGACAGCATGTTTGAGGAGTTATAGAGTCTAACTGCTGTCAGGATGAATGATCTGCGAAAGTGCTCCTTCCTGCAGCTAGGGTGTTTCAGTCTCTGACAACCCCCAACTGAACACCACGAAAACTAAAGAACTTATCTTGGACTTCAGGAAGGGCAGAGCAGACCTGGCCCCACTTTACATTCACGGGAACTGTGTGGAGAGGGTACACTCCATGAGGTTTCTGGGCGTGCAGATCTCTGATGACCTCTCCTGGACTGCAAATACCACGGCGGTGGTTAAAAAGGCCCAGCAGCGTCTCCACTTTCTGAGAGTGCTCAGGAGGAACAACCTGGAGGAGAGGCTGCTCACATCACCCTCATAGAGGGAAGCTCATGATGGATGTCTGATTGACTAACATCCTCCTCTCGCCCACTACCACCACAGATTCCAGAGCACATCCCAGCACAGAGGCTAGACCTCTGCACCAGTTTGTCAGTCCTGCTCCTGCCCCTGTCTGTGCATCTGCTCCCCCAGCAGGCCACTGCATAGAAAACGGCACAGTCATAGAATGTCCTGGCGCCCCCATGCTGCAGATTACCACCTCGGACACATAGCCATGGAAAGTCACATGCAGTGATCTGTTTGCCCACTCCAGCTCCCTCCAGCTTCCCTCTCAGTAGTGCAGACTGGATGGTGTCGAGAAGACAAAAACATGATCCTCAAAGTGCTCCATGCCTGCTCTAGGTGAGAGAGGGAACGGTGGTGGTGCAGGATGAGCCTTTCCATGGTCTTCATCAGGTGAGAAGTCAAAGCCAGAGCTGGGAGCTGGGGGTAACAAGCTGCCTGTGGCCCCATCTTGGAAAAAAAAAAGCTCACCTTCAGACGCTTTCTGTGCTGCTGAAGTAAAGTCAGGTTTTGCGTGCTTAGCAGGAGTTTCCGCGGTGTTATCCATGGATGATGAACAAGGATCACTCAGAAGTGTTCGTCTATGCTCTCGTGTCAGGCGCTTCAGCTGATAGTTTTTTCTCCCCAGGACATAACTTACATATTATTGTAATATTCTTGTCTGCTTGTTTCAGAAAAGTGAAGAGACGGGAATATGTCCATTTCAAAAAACAGCCACTCGCTTCAGCTGAGTCCGACATCTTCCGCTTTAGAATACGACTATGCAGCAAACTGGCGCGAAATGACGTACAGCTGCACTACAGCGATGTTAAATCAGCAGAGTTTACTTCTAAGTTTAGAAGATAAATTATTGAAATTAAATAATGATATTCAGCGGGTTTAATTATTTTACAATGTAACACAAGTACTTTGTAAGTAACTGTAATTAAAATACCTAAAAATGAACAGTAATTAGTTACTCTACTTTTTCAGTGGAAAAGTAATTTAATTACAGAAACGCGTTACTTAGTAACGCATTACACCCAACACTGTATATATATATATATATATATATGTGTGTGTGTGTGTGTGTGGTGGGGATGCTGTCGCATTGTAAACAGTGTAAGACTTAAGACTGGTTAAAATGATTTCACAACATGTTAAAAACAAGTCTACGCACAGCAAACTGCATGTGGTTTCCTGTTTTATTTCACGTTCATGCAAGAGGGTGACACATGAAACACTTATCTGACTTTGATCATCCTATACTCTGCTACGACAGGGGCCAGGTCCTGCACAGCTTGCATTTCTGTTAGGGCTAATAGAGAATTCACACCTGTGGCCAATTTAGAATTACCAATTATGCCCGGCCCACTAACTGCAAGTGTTAGACTGTAGGAGGAAACCAGACTACCTGGAGAAATCCCAAGCAGACACACAGAAACACATGACAAACACAAAAGCTCTACAGTGAAAGGCAGCAGCCAGATTATGAATTTGAACGTAGGAAACTTCTTGCTGTGAGGTAACAGCGCTGCCACCATGCCGCCCAAATCAGTTTTCAAAAATGTTGCATTTAGTTGACTTTAAGAATTCTCACAGTGTTTATATTTAAAATACATTAATATGAATTTAAAATGACTATTTCAAACTTCAGGAGTTGTTTGGTTACTAATTGGATGTAATTCCCGCTGACAGATTCACCAAACATCCTGACTGTGGAGAAATCTAGAGGGCTGAGATTATCAAACTCAATAATGGAAGGCCAGTCTGCTAGTGAGCCATCCGGACCAGGTTTTGTTTTGGCTGACTATGCAGTCTTTGCTGCCATGTTATTGGTTTCTGTGGCGATAGGACTTTTCCAGGCCCTGAAGAAAAGGCCAAGAGAAGCAACTGCTGACGACTTCTTCACTGGGGGCCGGAGCTTGCCAGCGATTCCCGTTGGCTTGTCTCTCTGTGCCAGCTTCATGTCAGCAGTCCAGGTTCTGGGTGTTCCTTCTGAAGGTTTTCGCTATGGCTTCAAATTCCTCTACATGTGCCTCGGACAAAGCATCAACTCCTTGATGACAGCTTACCTGTTCCTGCCGGTTTTCTTTCGACTGGGCATCACCAGCACCAATCAGGTTCTAATGACCTAATAGTCATTGCCTCATTTATTTTATGAAGGAAATGAGTATATTTCAGTCTTCTGAATTGTTTTAATTCATTCATGATGCACATAATTATATTTAGATGATTCTATGTAACATAATTCTGCGAAACCCTTTCACACTAAGATAAATTGCTATGGAAATATCCCTTGCATGTCACATGTCTATATAACAAACTTTCATTGTGAATTGCAAATTTTGTATGTTTTTTATTTTATTTAATTAAATCACATATTTCTTATATTTCATATGACCTCATTGCAATGATTAACAAATAAAAATTAAGAAATTCAAAAGTTTATAAATATGCATTACATTGTGCAATTATCAAAGTAACAGGAGCAATAATTTTATTTGCCACTGATGATTGAGTGGCTGCTAATTTTAGAACAATATAATAAAAATAGTTTGATTTGAGGATTTTTATTAACGAAACATGACAATGTATTTATCAACAGCGAAGTAATAGAATTTATCTGACCAAGTGTTGAAAGGTGCCTGTAGTCGTTCAAACATGGTGAATATAGGGGGTGAAGAAGGATGAGGTTATAACACCGACCATCTGCCTGTCACAGTATCTGAGGATGAGATTTGGCAGAGGGATGCAGCTGCTGGGGAGCATTCAGTTTCTCGTTGCCACGGTAAGACAGACAATGTAATGTTCTCTGTTGGATTGAAGAATTTGGAGCTCACAAAGACATTTTTTATTTTCAAATTCTTCTCATATTTATTCATCTTCAGGCAAACCTAGTGGCTTCAATCCTTTAACCCAGTGTTTATCACCTTTTTGCTGCTTTGCTTGAATTTCCTCTCTCACAGCTGCTTTACACAGGGATTGTCATCTACGCGCCAGCTTTAATTCTGAATCAAGGTAGGTGAGGTCTAAACATGGACCTCTGTTTTTATAGGATATTTTCATTTATTTGACACTTTGTCATACTGGAGAACACGTGTGTATTTATAGCACCAGACGTTTTGCTCCTTATCAGTGTTGACTCAGCTAAACCGTTTATTTCTGAGAAGAGGATGTGTGGAATAAATTTAAGGGAAATATGTGTTACAAAAATGAATGTTTAAACAGTGATAAGAAATATCTGAACAGTGATAGGAAAGGGGGACATTAAACCTGACACTAAGACCTGCTGCACTGACTTTTTATGAAACTTTTTAATTAAGTATCTTTGCTCAAAACTCAAGAAGGCAAATTTAATTACTGTATGTATGATATTTAGTACCGTCTTTTAGTACTTTAGTTCTTTAGTACTGTCTTCTTTCTCTCTCCCCGGTCATGGGAGATGGCCCCGCCCCTCCCTGAGCCTGGTTCTGCCAGAGGTTTCTTCCTGTTAAAAGGGAGTTTTTCCTTCCCACTGTTGCCAAAGTGCTTGCTCATATGATTGTTGGGTTTTTCTCTGTATGTATTATTGTAGGGTCTACCTTACAATATAAAGCGCCTTGAGGCGACTGTTGTTGTGATTTGGCGCTGTATAAATAAAATAACTTGAATTGAATTAGTACCAGAAATAATTTTTACTTTTTTACCATAAATTTGTGGATGGTTTTCCCACATTATTAATGACTGGTTCTTGTAGTTTACAAATAAAGCTGTTGTTTCATTCACTGTTTTTGTAGCTACTGGACTCAACATATGGGCATCTCTATTTTCTACTGGGCTCATCTGCACCTTGTACACCACACTGGTAAGAAGACTGCTTTAATATTCTCATCAAACAAGTAAGCATGCAGCATCAGACCACCACCTGTTTCAGAGTTCAGTGTTCATTTAAAAATGCCTTGTTGGCTCATTTGTGCAGGATGTATTTCAAAATAAGATGCCTAAACAAAAATAAAATGTAAAGTAAGTTGTCTAGATAAAACTAGCAGATTATTTTGGTTTTGGGGGATGTTTTTTCTCGTGGTAGATGTCTTCTAACCTCAGACTTCTCTGAGAATAAAAATGCTGTTACTGTATATCTAACACAGAGCAGTAAACTGAAATCAGAGATTAAAACACAAACATTCAGCTGACATCGTGTTTCAGGTTTTGTATTAAGTTTTAACTCCGTACACAAAGTTATTAAGGTGCGAACATTTGTCTCACGCTCTGTTTCTGTCTCCTCTCATCTCTGTATAGGGTGGAATAAAAGCTGTGATCTGGACTGATGTATTCCAGATCATTGTCATGTTGTTGGGCTTTGTGGCCATTTACATCCATGGCACAGTCCTGGTTGGTGGTCCGGCACAAGTACTGAGGATTGCAAACAATGGATCACGCATTAATTTTAATGAGTAAAAAACATTTTTAATTATGAATGTCTTTATAAATGTACATTAGTGTGCGACTACATCTTGATACAAAAAGACTGAACAAGTCACTGCAAATGCTACTTGGATCTTCCACAGTTTTAGCTTTGACCCACGGCATCGCTACACATTCTGGAGCCTCTCTGTTGGGGGTGCATTGGTTTGGCTGTCCATGTACGGAGTGAACCAAGCACAAGTCCAGCGATACATCTCCTGTCGATCAGAGAGAGCGGCGCAGTGGTGAGTGAACACCTACATGCTGAAACAGACAGACTATGACACAAGCATAGTATCCATGAAATCTGATTATGTTTCAGTTATAATAGCTGAAACGTAACCAACCACTGAAAAGCCATGCGACAAGACAAGGACGAGGTCAGAGTTTCAAATAATAAGGTCAGCATGTGTTTAACTAACCCCATGAGCCAAGAGCTCAGGCTTCAGACTGGCTCTGCATGATGTCAGTCAGAGGGGATGTCCCCAACATGGTTGTCTCACACACACAGATTAACAAAATGGACCTGTAGCCTAAAAGTTGCCAGTCTGGGGCCAGTTTGCTGTTGGTGCTATGGGCTGACCATAGATGCTATTGTAGCCATGTATACATTGTCTCAAAATATGTTGCATCAAACATTGTTGTGGCTCTACAGTTTGCATCATTACTCTGCTGTCGTTCATCTTTTTAAATGTGCTATTCTCTGACTGCTTTTGTGCCATTTCCCTGTTTCTGATTTTTCAAAACTCTCCAACTTTGGACTGAATAGCCTCGTCTTCTAAAATCCTCATGAAAGCTCTGACATCTTTGTTTATCTAATGGTTTAAAATAGCTTTAATAAGAAGACTTGTTCTTTTGTCATTTAATTATGGATGCAAGGTAGATTGTTTCACAGTGACTCCCTCAGGACAGTATCATTATTTTCCAGGTGTCTGCTATTGTGGTCCTCATTCATGTTTTCTCAAAGTGAGAGGACTGTCCAGGTCTGATAGTTCAGGCACTAGTTCTTCTTAATAGGCACTTGATATTATAAAGCATTGTACAGACCTACAGACATTTCATATCCATCGATTTGGGTTTTTTAATTATGATATTTGCATGTACATATACTGATTACACTTAAGAAGGAATGTGTTATTATGACAGTGAACATCTCCATATATTAACCAGCAATTCTTTGTAATGTAAATTTACTTCCAAGCATAGATGGATATCTAATTCAAGTTTTAGATTAAAATTTATAATAACAGTTTTTCACTTTTCCCACACCAGTAAGTAGGAAGTGGAAACAGTCATCATGCTTGGTTTCATTTTCAGGGCACTGTTTGTGAACCAAGTGGGTCTGTGCCTCATTGTGAGCAGTGCAGCAACCTGTGGCATCGTCATGTTTGCTTTTTACAACACGTGTGATCCGCTGAAGTCTGGGAGGATTTCTAAACCTGACCTGGTAATCAGATTACTTTCATTTTGTACTGAGCAACAAAATATTTAATGAGTCAGTTTTAAGATGTTTCTTGAGATGCAGACATTTGTTCTTAGCTAAACTCATTTTATTGTTAAATTAGGCTAATGGCTAAATGGAATATTTTACTTAGTTGCATATTGAGGTATACAGTAAATATCCATATTGTACAAGGAAAAAAACAAACAAACAAATACGGACATTTCTATTATCTCAGCAGGGCCTTTATGTGGCCAAGACTGAATACCACTAATAACTAGTGTGTTTTGGTATGCTTGTATGTTACATGCCAGATGTACCTGTTTATTGTTGGGGTTTTTTTTGGTTTTTTTACTCTTTATTCATCTGATGAAGCTTATGCCGTACTTTGTGCTGGACATATTCGAAAATTACCCGGGCTTCCCAGGTCTTTTCCTCGCCTGTGCATACAGCGGGACTTTGAGGTATCCAAATCTACGTTTCTTTAAACCTTACCTGAAGCAGGTATGTCCCTCACATTACAAGGAGCCAGCATAAATAACTTCGCTTGAGACATTTCGTAACTTGTGTGATGGTTTAAGGCTATTTGAGGTTTAAAGACAGAAAACTCTTCAGTCTTCAAGTGAATGTGAGGAAATATCAGACTAAACTACATATCCCCTGTTAACATGTAACATTCATCATATGCATGTTACATCTTTTACATACTGTATACATATATATTACACATTTTTATGCACAAGAAAGAATCATCAAATAATGAGCTGCCGCTATGAGATTAATGTTAATCAAGCCTCTTTTTAACAGTACGGCTTCCACAAGCATCAATGCCATGGCTGCGGTGACGATTGAGGATATCCTGCACCCCTATCTGCTTCACATGACACAGAAGAAACTGATGCTGGTTTCCAGAGGACTGTGTAGGCTGACTATACCACTTACTGCTGTAATGTTTTAGTCCCAGATTCTTAGAATAAGTCATATTCGGCAATAATGCATTTTGAACCTTTTCTCTAAGCACTCCTGTATGGTGGTGGTTGTATCTTGGTGGCTGCACTCTCCTCCCTAGTGAACTGGGGAGTTCTTCAGGTAATAATATCATAATCAATCATTTTACCAAAGATTTTTGTAATTTTTAACAAAAATGATAAAACAATAGTTGTTGTTATACAACTATTGTTGTTGTCATACATGAAACCCAGATAATGTTGGAAGACTGTGTAAAAGTTGCAGTTTCAGATGTGCCACACACAGCAGGAGGTATTTTGAAACTTCAGAAATGTTAGATGCACTTTTCTCACATGGGCGCCGTAATTCAGGCATGCAGTGCATATGTAAGAGATGTAAGACAGTTACATTTTTGACCTGAGTAACTAATTACAGATAAGATTTATACTGTACTCTGTAACAAAGTTTTTTGGGTTGATTTTCGAACGTACCATTTATCTTCTCTCTTTAGGGATCATTTACTGTCATGGGTGTGGTCAGCGGCCCATTACTTGGAGTGTTTATTTTGGGAATATTTTTCCCAGCAGCAAACAGACTGGTGAGTGACTGGTAAAGAAATGATCTAGAAATACTTCCAAGAAGCACATGTACTTAGATTAAATTCACAGGTAAAAGCCAAACGACTTAAACAATGGCCTGAATTGTATTCTCTTTAATCTAAAAATATCAGGAGAATGTCTCAAACTAAATTGCATAATACTCGATGGAAATTTTGAAACGTATTTCTTGAAAATGTAACAATTATTAACTTGAATGTTTGCCATGTATTAATGTAGACACCTATCTTATCTATTAAGGAAGACTTGGGTGTTAGTCACAGATCCTTGATGAATCTGTGTTACTGTTAACACCACTCCTTTGTTCGGACACGTCACATAAAACATTTTAAAGCAGCAACTTTGTGAGCTCTCGTTTAATAGTGAAACAGTTAAAAAGCAGTTCACACTTATCGCTCTTGACACAGCACCTTGATATTGTTCTGTTAGCCAGACAACTTTCCCTGGAAAATTTTCAGTGCACATATTTACTTTCTGAATTCCTTACATTTAAGGAGGTCCCACTGACGTGGAGTGTGTGTTACCTCACATGGGCCATTACTGTTTTTCACAGCGACACTGTGCTACAGGTAAACATTTTAGAAACCAGCTGGCCATGGATGCTCATTTGCTTTATCTGTGTTTCAGGGGGCATTCACGGGGATATTAGCTGGCTTCCTTGTCTCTATGTGGCTAGCTGTAGGTTCAACTCTGTATCCACCCAGTGAGGAGACCATGGGTGTCCTGCCCAGCTTAGCAGGTTCCTGTGAATCCATAAACACCACCCAGAGTAGCATACCTATCGAAGACCAGCACTCTGTCTCCACCCGGCTTCACCCCAATAACCAGGGGTCAGTGAGTTCAGTGAGGCTTAAACGTACATGCTAGTTTATAATAATAATAGTAATAATAATAATAATAGTAATAATAATAGTTGTTACCCTGTTTTTCCCAAAACTAGGGGCCTGTTAAACTTCTACTCCATGTCCTACCTCTACTTCGGTGCCATGGCAACTAGTTCAGTTGTACTTGTCGGTGTAATTGTGAGCTACGCAACAGGTAAAAAGCTGTTATTTTGTTTGGAAAACTGCTGATTCACAGTGCTTTTATTTGATTTCAAGATAATAAAAGTGCGCACACTTCAGATATGCCAAAGCAATCAAACAGTGCATTTAAAACATATTACGCCATTCTTTTTCTCTCAACACAGGCCCAACAAAGAGGGAGAACATTAAAGAAGGTTTGTTATGGTGGGACCTGAAAAAGAAGAAAGTGGAGGGTTCCCCTAAAAACAGAGTAAGTCCTGTATGACTGTCCTGCACAGTCAATGACTGTACTTTCCATAGTCGTTGTGCACAACCAGGACCAGGACTGTGCACAGCAGCCCTAAATACTGTTAGAACACGTGAAGGGGGCTCAAAGGATATTTTTTTTCCCACTCAGATGTCAGTTATGTTTACATGTATTACATTTGTGTTATTTCCATGGGAAAATGTACAAAAGACAATGAATTTATTAATTAATCTGTTTTAAAAGGTAATTATTGCTTTATAACTCAACACTTGACTTCAAAGTGGAATATGGAATATGGTGTTAGTGTAAACACAGAAATTATGATCAGTCTGTTAAAGATTTCTTGTCCAAGAAGTTTTCACTTTCCCTTATTTTAAGTGTGTACTCATCAGCCATTTTGTTAGCTACACCTTGGAAGTACTAGGTCAGTTTTTTTTGTTGTTTTTTTTATCACAGTAGCCTTAATTCTTTTTTTTTTTTTTTTTTTTTTTTTAATTCTTTATGACACAGATTCAATAAAGTGTTGGAAACATTCCTCAGAAATTTTGGTCCATATTGATGTGACAGCATCACACAGCTGCTGCAGATTATTCGCTGCAAATCTTCCCTTCCACCACATCCCAAAGGTGCTTTATTCTATGTTTATAACAGTAGAGGCCACTGGAGTACGGTGAACTCACTGTCACATTCAAGAAATCAGTGTGATCAGCAACGATACTCTGGCTGGCTGTGGGGATTAGACGTTGCTCTGTTGGTAATAAGTGGCCCAAAACATGACAAGAATATTCTTGTCCTTACACCATTACACGCCAAGTCTGAACTGTCAGTACAAAGCAGGATGAATCCATTCTTTCATGTTGTTTACACCAAATTCTGACCCTAAAATCTGAATGTTGCAGAATGTTGTTCTTAATCTTCTATTGCCTAAGCTTGGTGGGCAAATTTACAGGCTGTTTCCTGTTCTATGCTGACAGGAATAGAGGTATTCATTGTGGTCTTCTCCTGCTGTGTTGTGCTTTGAAAGATGCTCTTCTGAAAGTCTTAGTTGTAGCAACTGATATTTGCGTTGCTGTCACTTTCCTATCAGCTGAAAGCAGCCAGCCATTCTCCTTTGACCTCTGACATCATCAAAGCATTTTCCCCCAGGGAACTGGCTGAACTCTTTCTCAGACCATTGTCTGTAAACTTTGGAGCTTGTGTGGGAAAATCCCAGCAAATCAGTAGTTTCTGAAATACACCACCTGACACTACAACATTTTTCTTTCCTATTCTGATGCTTGTTTTGAATTTTAGCAGGTCGTCTTAACTGTGCTTACATTCCTAAATGCATTGAGCTGCTGCTACCTGATTGATTATACATTAGTTAAAAGCAGTTGAATAGGTGTAACAAAGTTAGTGCATAAAGAAGGCAGTATTGTAGATTTGTGTCAGTCTCTTGCTTTATTTTTAAACTTTTTCTCTAACTGTGGTTCTGTTTTGTTTTCAGGAGGGAGACAAAGTGTCAGAAGAACTACAGTGTGTGTCTTTGATGGCAATGGACAAGCAGGATGCATGAAGGGGAAGGAGACCAAAGAGACAGCAGAAAATAAAGTCACTGCACAGTCTATAGCTGTTAGAAGACTACTGATCCCACTGGAACACATCACGGTGCTATCTTCTCTCTATCGGCACTAATAAATTTAGGTGTTGCTTTCATTTTCAAAGTGTTTCTCTCTATATGTTTTGGTTCTAAGTCTGCCTCATATTTTAAGTTACACCTGTGCCAAGAAACTATAAGTGCAGACTATCAGAGGTGATGAAAGGCTCTTTCATGGGAACTCTCATTCTGGTATGTTCCATATTCCTAACAATGCACACCTGCACTTCAACCAGCATTAACCGACATGTGGGCAGGTACACGGGATATGCTTAAACTGTAATTCAACCCTTGCTTCCTCATTCAGCAATCATTTAACATCTGCTCGAATGAGCCTAAAACTTCCTCCTAAAGAATGAGGGGATTTTTCCCTTTAATAATGTACCAGTTATGACTTTCTACTTAACTGTGGACTGCAGGTGTACCTCTAAATAAACAAAGATCAATGGCTCAGTGGCTAAGATCAATTTTACACAATTATATAAAAAGACATCTGAGAAACAAAAAGAAAACCTTCGAAGCAAAAGTAACCCCATGTGTGTAAACAAGAAAAATAAAGGGGTAAAACAAGCTATTGTTCAGTTCAGTCCCCTCAGAGGTTGGAGTTCAGCTTTATTTCATTATGCTGCACTTGTTTTCTGCTGCCATGCAACATTACAAACACACCCCATTAGCACAACACAGAACACCCTCTTTGTACTGTCAGTTTCACACTTCACCCTAAATACACAGCAGATAAAACAAAATTCTACACCACAACACCTGTGACTGCATTCACACCTAAAGTCTCCTGACAGAAAGTGAACTGTTATTGCTGGGTATTTATTGGGTCGTGGTATTGACACGAACAGTGATATTTATTGTGAGATGTGTCCCTCTGGAATCTTGTGTGCAATAAATATACAACTAAATGAATAAACTTTAGTCTCAAAAATGAGACGAATGTAAGAAACAGGCTGAAGAGGATTGTTTTGTGTATGATGACCCCTGCTGATCATTTACAGTCACTAAAAAAATGCAGAAAAGAAAAACCACCCACACACACGCATGACTGCATCCATCATGGCTGCCAACTACACACAAATCAATGAGAACGAAAGTGCTTATAACACAGTAATTTCATTTATTGCATTTTAAATCAACCTTTCATCCATGGTGGCCTTACAAAAGTAAACATATTTCGTCACACTCCGATAAGCTGGCAGGAATGACTGCAGTTCAGTCTTTAAAGCGGTGAGGTTGTGCTTCCGTGCACGTTTGTCCTGAATCCCTCAAACGCCTCCATGTTGTCGCATGAGCTACTGGGTTTCTTCACCACTCATCGGCGGCCCTGTTAGAGTCCTCGTCGGCTACAGCACAGTCCAGGCGCTGCACACCGGGAAGCGCCAGGTCCCGTTCGTTAAGCTTTTCCAGAAACGACGAAAGGAGTCGTTTATTCAAATGGTCCGTCAGCGTCCTTTCCTCTTCGACCCGCTCCTTGGCCACGTTTCTATCCGGCTCCGCTTCCTCGGTTTCGGTATCCGCGCCAGGCTGCTGCAGAGGGCCGGACCGGTGGTTCAAGGACAAGACGTTCGACTGCTCGCCTTCCCCGGGCTCCTGCTCTGTCCAGCTCCCGCCGTCCGCCCCCGATTCGGTCTCCATCCGTGATATTAAAGTGGTCTGCAGGGCGGCATTCTCCAGCTCTTTCAGGCGCTTACTGTGGAGGCCGCAGGCTGGAAGTTCATTGCCAGACGAGTTGTTCTTGTTATGATGGGCCTCGCCGGTCTGCTCCATCATGCTCTGCGTCTCTTTCTTCTTCTGGGGGTTTAGCGGCCAGCTAGCGTCTTTGAATCTCACTACTGCCCTCTTCTGGAAGAGGCTTGCTCTAATCTCAGATTGGTTCCCTCCACTGCACTGTCCTGAATGCCCTTGCTGATACACGTTTTCTATCTTTTTTGGTGTTTCACTAAAGACTAAAGTGATGTTTGATTAGATTTTCAGCATGTTAAACTTTAGTCACAAGAAGAAAAATATTACACATCCACAGATAATGATAACGCACCCTGCAGAAAAAACGAACAATCTGTCAAATCAAAAATATTGGTTCACAGAGAGATTTCCTCTACATCAGGGGCGTCAAACACAAGGCTTGGGGGGTCAGAATCGGAGCGTCAAAGTCTGCCTGACCAGAATGCTTTGGAAAAATGTGAAGGAGGGCATAGATTTTGGATTGTATTTTCACAAGTTTTACAGCTTTTTTAATTGATAAACTCTTCACTCATACCCATCCATACTGCACTTTTGTCATAGATAAATGACAGAAAAGTTCCTGCTTTTCCACTAACTACTATATGTACTATAGAAATCTATATCGAATAAAAGAACTTTTCAAGGGCGGTATTTACTATTTTACACCTTTTATCATGGACGAAACAGGAAATTCTTTTCCTATATAAAGATAATTCAGGGTTTAGATGTTTACCTAAATGTCTTTACAATGACAGAAAGGGGAGTTTCGCTGGTTTCACTTGGTTCACTTACGATCAAAGTTAGCTGCACATGTCCCACAATAAAAAATCAGTTTGACATCCCTGCTCTACACACTTCACACAAATGCAGGAAAAATGCACTCTTCCACATTTCAATAAGACTTTTTATTCAAATGATAATTCTGAAACATTTTATTTGACTTTTTCCATCTTGTGCTGCTTTACGTTCAACTAAAGATGCAAATACTGTGTTTTCCACTTTATATTTGAAAGTTTAGTTTAGGTTTCTACAGATATAATGTAAAAATCCAATGACTACAGTTATGTAGCCTAAACTATGGGGGGTGCTTCCCAGTCCAATCTGTCGTTTTTACTAACCACAATGTTCTTTTCTTTGCCAAATGATTAACACTTCTCTCCAGTGCCTGTTTCCATATACCTTTTATTCAAAAACTTTTAATTGGGTATTAATAGTTGCTTTTAACCAAAGTATTTCTTTGATATATTTTTAATACACCCACCTTTTTATGTTTTTGGCAAATGATTTGGTATTAACATGCAAATTATCTGCTTTGTTTTATGTTTTGGGACAGTGTGTAAAATGTAGAATTCAATGATTTTGGAAATCTCATAAGCCCACATTTTATTCACAATAGAACATAGAAAGTTTCCATTTATTTCTTTATTTTTTACAGTTGTGCCACAATGGCACACAACTACACTGTATAGAGTGGAATTGTGGATTTGACATCAACCTGAAATGCACACCTCAGATGTCCCTACAGTTCTTGGACATAATATCAAGGCTTAGGGTTGAATGGCAACAGCATATAATAAATATAGCCCCTTGAAAGTAACACATCCTGTCTTGTTTTCTCCCATCTACTCGAATGTTTCTAACCCATGAACAGAAAAATCCTGAAACGTTTCAATGATGATTTGGGTTTCTTTGAATTATTGTAGAACGCTCTTAAAATCCTGCTCACTGGTAACAATCCTATTGCCCACAGAGCAGAGTATAAATATAAAACTTCTTCACATTTTAAACCAATAATCTATGTGAATATTTTTTCTGATACCCTGTGATTGTTTCTTGTTTATACATTCCTCTTTTAGTTTGTTTTTTTTTCGTTTTCTTCCCAGTCACTGTGTTGGTTAGTTCCTGTGCAACCTTTGCAAACAGCGAGGGAAACATAAATTTTATAAGTGTAAAAAAAAAAAAAAGATAATTATAAAAGTATAGAAAACATAGTCATAAAAGGTGTAAAATAAAAACCTTTTTAAAAACTTATTGTAGTGTAAAACAAGTGTACACTACTCCTACTTATATATATGTACAGCACAGTCTTGGTGATGCACACCGTGAAGTCCCCACCCCCTCGCCCACGGTTTGCGTAAGCTATTTTATCGCAGATAGTATTTTTGAGTGTATTGAGCTTCCGTAGAAGATTTTGGTTTCCATAGAGACCGTCTCTCATAGCGGCCACCGATCACTTAGCTTGGAACAACTAGAACAGGTAATGATGCCCGAAACACAACGTGTTACGTTTAATAACAGCTAACTTCATCGTTGAAAATATATATACTGTCTTTTCACTGATTAACCTAAGGTTAGCCAAAAACTACAAAAAGCGATAGCTTTCTACTCACTTAAATCCTGCTACGAGCTAGCTATGCTTTGTAGTCATAAACATGCTGCTTAAACTACACCAAGATTAGGGTTCACATATAACATACGGTGTCCTGTGCGGGAATACAAATCAGCGGGGAAATCGTCGGTGATTCTATCACAGTTGGTTTTACAGTTTTTTAAAATAGTGACTGAAGTCTGTATTTTAGCATCTGCTGATATGCACAAAGTTTTATGTCGTGAATGATAATCACGTCAGCTCTAATTTAATAAACCCCAAACACTAAATTCTCACTGAAAACCTGCCAGTCTCGGAGAGAAACCTACGTGCACAGTCGGTAGCTCGTCTGCTGTTAACACATGCTCTTTCTTTTTTCCTGCTAGAGGACAAAGTGGTCTAAGCTTTGGCGCACAGTGCAATCGGCTGAAAATGTCTTTCCGAGATTTAAGAAGTAAGTGTTGTTTACTGTCTGCTCTTCGCTGTTTGTAGTGACCACTTTTTTGGTTTGTTTATTTGTTTTAAGAAGATAACTGAGTGAGAAGTTAATTGGAGTTTTATGTTATGTGTCAGATTTTACAGAAATGATGAGGGCCTTGGGATATCCTCGCTTGATCTCTATGGAGAACTTCAGGACTCCAAATTTCTCTCTTGTGGCAGAAATCCTGAAATGGCTTGTGAAGAGGTATGCTTGAGCCTAAAAAAAGTCAAATTGTTTATCTAAATAATACTGCCACTGTTCTGTCCTCCACATTTTTCTGTCTGCATTTGGACACGGCCATGTTAAAGCATCATGATTCTAGTGGAGGATACTGTGATATATTTTTGCTTTTCTTTGCCTTTTGCACCCTTTCATTCTTTTCATCCTTATAGATATGAACCTCAGAGTGATGTTCCTACTGATGTGGACACAGAAGCTGACAGGATATTCTTCATCAAGGCTGTGGCCCAGTTCATGGTGAC